CACACACACACACACACTATCAAACCTGTACATGTAGAAAAATCACCTTCATGTCACATCACATAATTAATCAGTGTGTTTGTCTTTTCTCTCAGGCAAAGCGTCCTGCTATCAGCACTGCAGGAGTCTGTGCTCGAGGTGAGACTCCACCCTGAAGTCTGACTCAGGATTTCCTGCCAAATATCATTTATAAAAAATGTTTAGACACTTTGAAGAGCTCATTAAAAACATTAGTAAACACCGTCCGGGTTGTGTTCCAGGTGGTCTGTTTGTGGGTCTGCCTGAGCAGATTCCCCGGAGCGCCATGCTGACGGAGGCTGACCTGCAGTTCTACGTCAGCCAGTACAGAGAGCGAGGCTTCAGGTTGCACACACTGAACAGATACATCTGTAGGATAATGCAAAGAAAGCTTCTGAATACACATGATAAACTAAACTGTACATATGCAGTACTGATATAAAACACATTATCTTTAACAAATATCAGATTCAGGAGCGTCTCTAACACATGCCCCCTGTTTGTTGAGTCAACTTAAAAAGATAATCAAAGATCATTACACTCCAGTGGGTCAATAATCACCTTTGCATTTGGTTTCACAGGAGGCCGTTGAATTGGTATCGTAACGGAGAGGCGAACTGGAGGTGGATGTGTTCTCGTCCCACTGGAAAGGTCTGTCACAGACGCCAGGGTCAGAAACAAACGTCTGAAAGTTATAGATACACTAAAACTGTGTTTCTGCACATACTGGGAAACCTGGAATACTGTGAAGCATTTTCCAACAACACATTAGCTCCAAATATGCTGGGAAAATATAATAATTTTAATGCTTAATGCCCAAACGCTGACCAAAAGGTTTCAGATGTAAAAATTGATCAATTATTGTATTTCCAAAAAGTGAAAGAAAAGTTAAATTGTTTAAGCTTCATTGTAACATCACTATTAATTAGTAATTTCATCAGAGAACTACAACATTGCTGTGGTATCATTTAAGTTTTCTCAGGGTGAAAGAATGAGTCTGGAGTATTTTCTGATTATCAACAAACCTGAAGAAACATTCTCTCAGTGCTTTCTGGCTTCCTGTCTGTGGCTCTCAGCTCCAAGCTCATTGGTTCCTCCTGAAGAATAAATCTTTAAAACACAAATATACAGTTTTATTTTAAAAAGGCTTAGTAATTCACTAAAACAGCTGCTCACTGCCGCTTTTATCAGGGAAACAGGAGGAAATAGTGGTTTTGTCAGGGACTATTTTCAGCAG